CTATAGATCCTTATGCCAAGTGCATAACTGGCATCTCCCAAGTCCTTCATAGAGAAACTCTTACTCAACCACGTTTTGACGGTGGTTAAAGTAGGAATATCGTTTCCTATGAGCAGTATGTCATCAACATACAGAGCAAGGAAGACTACAGCACTCCCACTGACCTTCTTGTATACACAAGATTCATCCGAATTTCTTTCAAAACCAAAGCCGATGACAGTTTCGTGAAAGCGGATGTTCCAACTCCATGAGGCTTGCTTCAATCCGTAGATTGATCGCTGCAACTTGCATACCTTGGTAGATTCTTCAGGAGCGCAAAACCCTTCAGGTTGTGTCATAAAGACATCCTCAAGGAGGTTTCCATTAAGGAAAGCCGTTTTGACGTCCATCTTCCTGATTTCGTAATCATGGTATGCTGCGATAGCAAGTAAGATCCGAATGGATTTAATCATGACAACTAGAGAAAAACTTTCGTCATAGTCGATACCATGTATTTGACGATATCCTTTTGCTACCAATCGTGCCTTGAAGGTTTGCACCTTACCATCCATGTCAGTCTTCTTTTTGAAGACCCATTTGCACTCAATGGGTTTGATCCCTTCGGGTGCATCAACCAAAGTCCATACTTGGTTGGTGTACATGGAATCCATTTCGGACTGCATGGCTTGACGCCATTCCTCAGCCTCGGGACAACTGATTGCCTCGAGGTAGGTCTCCGGCTCATCCTGGTCGATAAGGATTACGTCACCCTCAAAGGTTAGGAGGAATCCATACCTTTCAAGTTGTGTGCGTAACCGATTAGACCTACGGGGTTCTTGTGTATGTTGAGCATTTTGAGGTACAACAGTTTGTTCCTCTAGCTCATGTTCCAGAACCGGCGCGGTAGTTTCTTCGTCGTCTCGAATTTCTTCGAGCTCTATCTTTCTCCTGCTAGTTGCGATGGAGAGAAATTCCTTCTCGAGGAAGACACCATTGCGAGCAACGAATACCTTCTTATCGATAGGGTGATAGAATGAATACCCTCGAGTTTCCTTTGGGTATCCCACGAAAAAACACTTATCAGACTTGGCGTCAAGCTTGCCATTCGTCAAAAGATGTTTGACATAAGCCTCACAGCCCCAAATCTTTAAGTGTGACAGAACCGGGCATTTGCCCGTCCATAGCTGGTATGGTGTTCCTTCAACCGCCTTGGTTGGATCTCGGTTAAGAGTATCAATTGAAGTGCTCAGCGCATACCCCTAGAATGGTTCTGGTAGAGTCGAATGACCCATCATAGAACGAACCATGTCAAGCAGGGTTCGATTCCTCCTTTCAGAGACACCATTCCATTGTGGAGTCCCAGGAGGTGTGAGTTGGGATAAAATCCCATGCTCTCTAAGATAGTCATCAAACTCACCACTTAAGTATTCTCCACCTCGATCGGATCGTAGTGTTTTAATACTTTTGCCAAGTTGTTTTTCAACTTCATTCCTGAATTCTTTGAACATTTCAAAGGATTCTGACTTGTGTTTCATGAGATACACATAGCCATATCTACTGAGGTCATCAGTAAAAGTGATGAAGTATGAATAACCACCTCGTGCAGTTGTATTGAAAGGCCCGCACACATCACTATGAATGAGTGCCAGAAGATCACCAGCTCTTTCACCGTGTCCGGTGAAAGGAGATTTGGTCATCTTACCCAATAAACAAGATTCGCATGTGTCATATGATTCAAGATCAAATGACTCCAGCATTCCCGACCGATGTAGCTTGGATATGCGTTTCTCGTTTATATGGCCTAACCTACAATGCCATAGGTATGTTTGGTTCAAACCGTTCGGTTTGTTCCTCTTGGCTGATATGTTATAGACAGGCATGTCCAAGTCAAGGACATATAACCCATTGGTCATGTTGGCATTAGCATAGAAAACATTCTTTCTGTAAACGGAAAGGGACTTGTCTTTAATAGAAATGATGAAACCACTCTTATCAAGACATGAAACAGAAATAATGTTTCTGCTAATTGCAGGAACGTACAAGCAATCGTTTAATTCCAACATTAGACCACTAGGCAAGACTAAACTATAAGTTCCGATTGCCAAAGCTGCAACAGGTGCACCATTGCCGACTCGGAGTTCAATCTCGCCTCGAGCTAACCGTCTACTCTGCTTCA